GAAAAAGCCAAAATCACCCCAAAATCACCCCGAAATCACCCAAAATCACCCAAAATCACCATCACCACCCTGAGAACAGCCGGAAACACCCAAAATCAACCCAAAATCACCCCAAAACCACCCCGAAAACACCCCAAATCACCCCAGAATCCGCTCTGGGAACCCCCAAAACCCCCAAAGTCACCCAAAAACACCCTGAAAACACCCGGAAACACCCAAAATCACCCCAAAAATCACACCAAAAACAGCCAAATTCACCCCAAAATCACCCTAAAATCACCCCAAAATCGCACTGAAACACCCCAAAATCACCAAAATATCAACCAAAATCACCCAAAAACACCCTGAAAACACCCGGAAACACCCGGAAACACCCAAAATCACCCCAAAAATCCCACCGACGTCCCCCCGAAAAAAGGATTTTTGGGGACTTTGGGGTGTTTTGGGCGGGATTTTTGGGGAATTCTGGAAGATTCCAGGCGGATTTTTGGGAATTCCGGGATATCTGGAATGGGTTTTTGGGAATTCTGGGGCTTTCCAGGCGATTTTGGGTCGAATTCCGGGGATTTTGGGGCGGTTTTAGGTCGAATTTGAGGGATTTTGGGGCGATTTTTGAGGCGATTTTTGGGGACTTTGGGGTGTTTTGGGCGGGATTTTTCGGGAATTCTGGAACATTCCAGGCGGATTTCTGGGAATTCCGGGATATTTGGGATGGGGTTTTGGGAATTCCGACGGTTTTGAGGAGATTTTGGCTAGATTTCTGGGGTTTTTGGGGCTGTTTTGGGGCGAATTTGAGGGATTTTGGGTCAATTTAGAGGTGATTTTTGGGGACATTGGTGTGTTTTGGGCGGGATTTTTTGGGAATTCTGGAACATTCCAGGTGGATTTCTGGGAATTCTGGGATATTTGGGATGGGTTTTTGGGAATTCCGTGGGTTTCGAGGAGATTTTGGCTAGATTTCTGGGGTTTTTGGGGCTGTTTTTGGGTGAATTTGAGGGATTTTGGGGCGATTTTTGAGGAGATTTTTGGGGACTTTGGGGTGTTTTGGGCGGGATTTTTTGGGAATTCTGGAACATTCCAGGCGGATTTTTGGGAATTCCGGGATATCTGGGATGGGTTTTGGGGAATTCTGGGGGTTTCCAGGCAATTTTGGGTCGAATTCCGGGGATTTTGGGGTGAATTTTTGGGATTTTGGGGCGATTTTTGAGGCGATTTTTTGGGGACTTTGGGGTGTTTTGGGTGGGATTTTTTGGGAATTCTGGAACATTCCAGGCGGATTTCTGGGAATTCTGGGATATTTGGGATGGGTTTTGGGGAATCCCGGGGGTTTCCAGGCGATTTTGGGTGGATTTTGGGTGGAATTCCCGGGATTTTGGGGCACTCACTGCACGTTCGTCTCTCGCTCCCCCTCAGGGACCCGGTCCTGCAGACACTTGAAAATGGCCTGGAAGAATATGCAAATCTATGCAAATTTATGTCAATTTAGGGTATGACCACACCCCAAACCCTTTAATCAACCTCACAGCCTTAATTACCAGCACGGCCATGCAAATCAGGGCTCCAACCGGTCTTAAACATGCAAATTAAGCGCGTGGATATGCAAAATGATGTGTGTTATGCAAAATAGGGCGGGGCTATGCAAATTAGGCTGGTTTTTTAATTGGGTTGTGTTATTTTCCATGTAAATCCCATTGATTCCGATGCCAAATTAACAATTAATAAGTTCTTAATTGTTATTATATGCAAAAGTAACAAAAGAATTAATTAGTCATAAACGTTTACTTAATTCTTAGAAGTCGATATTAGTTTTATGCAAATTAGGTAGCAGAAGAGCAAATGAGGTTGATTTATGCAAATTATTCCATTAATATAACTACGGTAAATTGATTGAGTGAATTAACATGCAAATCTGACAATTAGAATCATTTGCATAAAGCACCCAACAATGCTAATTATGCAAATCCCAGAATTGGAAAGTATGCAAATCAGGGAACAATTTATGCAAATCACTGCACGATTTGCATAACCTTCTAACATATTTATATAATCTAATTGATGCAAATCACCGATCTAATTCACGTCCATTGAGGGGAGTTCTATGCAAATTAGCGGGTAATTTATGCACATCATGGAGAGTTTAATGCAAATCAGCGACGAATTTATGCAAATTCCTCATCGCTTTATGCAAATCTATGCAGATTAGGGCGGCTCCAGCCAATAACCAACGGGGGAGGCGTCGTTATGCAAATGAGATGCAAATGTGCAAACGCTTTCGAACTATATATGTGGGTGTGTAAATAAATAGGAAGTTGTATGCAAATGAGATGCAAATGAGGTGCAAATGAGGGAAGGCTTTTGAGCGGGGTGCAGTTGTGCGAATGAGCAGGAAATGGGATTTAAATGAGATGCAAATGAGATGCAAATGAATCGTTTCTGAGCGGCGTGTGGGCCTGTCGATGGGATGAAAAAAAAGAATTTTAAATGAGATGCAAATGAGATGCAAATGAGGAATCGTTTCTGAGCGGCGTGTGGGCCTGTCAATGGGATGAAATAATGAATTTTAAATGAGATGCAAATGAGATGCAAATGAATCGTTTTTGAGAGGCGTGTGGGCGTGTCAATGGGACGGGAATTGGCTGTAAATGAGATGCAAATGAGATGCAAATGAGGGAAGGCTTTTGAGCGGGGTGCAGTTGTGCGAATGAGCAGGAAATTGGATTTAAATGAGATGCAAATGAGATGCAAATGAATCGTTTCTGAGCGGCGTGTGGGCGTGTCAATGGGACGGGAATTGGCTGTAAATGAGATGCAAATGAGATGCAAATGAGGGAAGGCTTTTGAGCGGGGTGCGGTTGTGTGGATGAGCGGGAAATGGTATTTAAATGAGATGCAAATGAGATGCAAATGAATCGTTTTTGAGAGGCGTGTGGGCGTGTCAATGGGACGGGAATTGGCTGTAAATGAGATGCAAATGAGATGCAAATTAATCGTTTTTGAGCGGCGTGTGGGCGTGTCAATGGGACGGGAATTGGCTGTAAATGAGATGCAAATGAGATGCAAATGAGGGAAGGCTTTTGAGCAGCACCTGGGCGTGTCAATGAAACGGAAACTGGATGCAGATGAGATGCAAATGAATCGTTTCTGAGCGGAGTGTGGGCGTGTCAATGGGATGAAAAAATGAATTTTAAATGAGATGCAAATGAGATGCAAATGAATAGTTTTTGAGAGGCGTGTGGGCGTGTCAATGGGACGGGAATTGGCTGTAAATGAGATGCAAATGAGATGCAAATGAATCGTTTCTGAGCGGCGTGTGGGCGTGTCAATGGGACGGGAATTGGCTGTAAATGAGATGCAAATGAGATGCAAATGAGGGAAGGCTTTTCAGCAGCATTTGGGCGTGTCAATGAAACGGAAACTGGATGCAGATGAGATGCAAATGAGATGCAAATGAGCTGACCTGCTGGTACTGGCAGTATTTGATGGGATCCTTCTCGAAGACCTCGTAGGTTTGGGATTCCAGGTTGTCCATCAGCGGCTGCGGGAATTCCCGGGAGAAAATTCCGGAAGTTTCCGGCATCCCGGCAAAATTCCCGGCATTTTCACCCAAATTCCACAAAAATTCCCATTTTTTGTCAAAATTCAGCCAAAATTCCCCATTTTTCCTTAAAGATTCCCATTTTTCCCACCCAAAATTCCCGTTTTTCCCACAAAATTCCCATTTTTCCCACAAAATTCCCATTTTTCCCACAAAATTCCCATTTTTCCCACAAAATTCCCATTTTTCCCACCCAAAATTCCCATTTTTCCCTCAAAATCCCCATTTTTCCCTCAAAATTCCCGTTTTTCCCTCAAAATTCCCATTTTTCCCTCAAAATTCCCATTTTTCCCACAAAATTCCCATTTTTTCCAACAAAATTCCCACTTTTCCCACACAAAATTCCCATTTTTCTCTCAAAATTCCCATTTTTCCCTCAAAATTCCCATTTTTTCCCCCAAAATTCCCTTTTTTTTCCCAAAATTCCAGGTTTTTTACCCCAAAGATTCCCATTTTTCCCACAAAATTCCTGAACTGGTTTGAACTGGGATGAACTGGGAGAGGATTTGGGGTCACTGGGAGTTACTGGTTTGGGGTTCTTTGTTACTGGGATGAACTGGGATTGAACTGGGATGAACTGGGATGAACTGGGATTGAACTGGGATGAACTGGGATGAACTGGGAGGGGCTTTGGGGTTACTGGTTTGGGGTTTTTTGTTACTGGGCTGAACTGGGATGAACTGGGATTGAACTGGGATGAACTGGGATTGAACTGGGATTGAACTGGGATGGACTGGGATTGAACTGGGATGGACTGGGACGAACTGGGATTGAACTGGGATGAACTGGGATGAACTGGGATGAACTGGGAGGGGCTTTGGGGTTACTGGTTTGGGGTTTTTTGTTACTGGTTTGGGGTTTTTTGTTACTGGTTTGGGGTTTTTTGTTACTGGTTTGGGGTTTTTCGTTACTGGATCGGGATTTTTTGTTACTGGGCCGAACTGGGAGGCCACTGGGCTGAACTGGGCTGAACTGGTGTGAACTGGTTTGAACTGGGAGCCGACCTGCAGCGGGCTCTGCAGGTAATCCTCGTAGCCGCGGGCGTAGAGCTCGTAGGCCGAGGGCGGGGGCCGGTGCTGGCCCAGGTGCTCCAGGTACTGCAGGTACGCGGCCAGGGGGCGTCCGCCGTGCCGGGGGGCTCCCTGCACGATGATCTGCACGTCCAGCTGCGGGGGAAACCAGTACAAACCAGTATAAACCAGTACGAACCAGTACGGGCTCTTTTTCCTGGTTTTTTCGCCTTTTTTTTTCCCGTTTTTTTGTGGTTTTTTCCCCGTTTTTTGCTGGTTTTGGTGGGCCCAGTTTGGTCTCCTGGGAGAGTTTAGGGAGGGAATCCCAGTATAAACCAGTATAAACCAGTATAAACCAGTATGGACCAGTATGGACCAGTATAAACCAGCATGAACCAGTCCAAACCAATCTCAATCCAACCCAACTGCTTTCCCAGTCCCTCTCAGTATAAACCAGTATAAACCAGTATAAACCAGTATGGACCAGTATGGACCAGTATAAACCAGCATGAACCAGTCCAAACCAATCTCAATCCAACCCAACTGCTTTCCCAGTCCCTCTCAGTATAAACCAGTATAAACCAGTATAAACCAGTATGGACCAGTATGGACCAGTATAAACCAGCATGAACCAGTCCAAACCAATCTCAATCCAACCCAACTGCTTTCCCAGTCCCTCTCAGTATAAACCAGTATAAACCAGTATAAACCAGTATGGACCAGTATGGACCAGTATAAACCAGCATGAACCAGTCCAAACCAATCTCAATCCAACCCAACTGCTTTCCCAGTCCCTCCCAGTATAAACCAGTATAAACCAGTCCAAACCGGCACCAAAACCTGAATTTTCCACCCATTTTTCCCCATTTTCAACTCTTTTAATGCCCCAAAATCCCTTCCCAGTCCAAACCAGTCCAAACCAGTCCAAACCAGT